GGTAGAGCAGCAGCATCTGCGAGGTAATGTCCTGTCCTGGCCCCGCTCCAGACCAAGGCGATGAGAAACCCTGGGGGTGGGGCATGGCACTCTGGGGGGGGGGGGGGGGGGGGGGGGGGGGGGGGGGGGGGGGGCTGCACACTCAAGTGGGAGAAGCACTGGATGAGAACACTCTCGTGCTCCACCTCCTCGATCCAGCCATTAGCACGGAGCTCTTCTATTGGCCTTACTTGAGAACTGCTCACTTCCTGACATTTAGTACCCATGCCTCCCATCAAACATGCCCAGGAAGAAAAGGAAAACAAGGGGGTGGCGTGTTCATGTACATCACAATGAAAGAATAATCGGTTCAATTGTAATTGTAAACTAAATCATTTGCCATCTCTCTCGACCTCCAGTGTAGAGGTTATCCATTAATTATTTTTGCTGACTGGGCAAAGTTCATTATCCATAAATTCAAGTCTTCTCCATAACAGATAGTTTTTCAAAAATATTCATCTTTAAAAAAGTTCTATATTGACTTTACCGCTCTTATCTCAACGTTCTGTACATAGTGGATTTGTATAGATGGGTTTTGCTGTGGTGTCCCCTTGTGATGTTCCTTTGACTTTACTTCTCTGTCCTCTCCTATGATGAGGAAGAAATCCTGTCCTGCCATATGTATCTCATTGCTCATCAAATCACCCATGTAGAAAAGGGCATGAAAACTCTCCACCTGTCCAGCCTGCTTCACTCTGGAGGGGTACGACCGTACAAGTGATCACATGTCATTTTCAGGAGAAAAATTCAAACTGATTTTCTAGCATCTGGCCCTTGGGTCCTAAGTGCTTCACACTCGTCTCTCACCTCTAACTGTAGCAGAAGGGCAATCAACGATTGCAAGTAAACGGCAATCAGCCTTGGAAGACGCCAACTTCATCTATGCTACGCTCTACTCCCCCAGTCAGCTGATACAGCTTAAGTGTACAGTGACCATTTGGTTTTGGCTGCCTAATCTTGATGCCTTGTTCCTCTCAACTAACGACGCTCACGCCCCCAATATCCAAAAATGGTCCAGCTGAGATGAGATCAATCTGAACTAATCAAACTCTCCTAAGTATAAAGAAAGTAACGTTAACGTACATACAACCCTGGGGCTGTCGTTAATGTTGTAGGAATTGGAGCAAATAACGGAGAATGATAAGTGGTCATAGATCACCCAGCAGGAGTTTTCAGGTTACCACTCCGGCCAGACGTTCACGCTTCCAGGCCTCAGGCCAAGGGTTAATGCAAACAAAAACAGGTTACTGCTTACACTGATCAGTATTCACTTCCTTTTCATAATTTACTGGAACTGGGAAAAAAGTGTAACAAAATGTATACAATTTACTAATTGTACAAAACATTCATTTAGCAAGACAATGTAGGTTACAGTCACCAGAATGAAGACTCACACTTTTCACTGCCACTTCCATGAAAATTCAGATAAATAAGAAGTCACTGGCTGCAAGTCACAACGGAAGCAACTTAAACTTTACATACAAGAGCAAAGGTCAGTCTTCCACAACAGTACTGCAGACAGTCACTCAGAGGCTCTCCATGCTGCCACGGCATTACTGGAATGTTCTTCAGAGTCCATCTTCTCTCTCCAAGACCAACACTTGAAACTTGAGATGTAATATAAAATAAGGAGTTCTTTATTATTTATACAAAACTTGTACATTAAAAAAAAATGAAGATTCAACAATTCTGCTGACGCCCTGAGGAAGCAAAGAGCTTTTATGGGTCTTATCAAAGAGCTTTGTGTGAATGTTCTGGTCACCAACCTCCTGGCCACAGGAACAAAGTACGCTCCCGCAGAGCCATTCATGTGGCACCTCCACCGGCTCCGAAAGCTGACTTTCCCTGTCACTGGGCGTGAAAAGCAAGCCAGGGTTTCCTGGACAACATTCAAAAATACTATCTTTTCTGGCCCGAGCTTAGAGTGTCTTATCAGTATACAAGTTGATTTTTATTTATTTCTTGAACACTTTGAATAAACTCCTAGTGTAAGAAGCTTTATTACAACATATACAGATTTTTGATACAGTTCTTTACAAAAAAACCTACCTAGATTTTTCAGCTAAATAAATTTAAGTCTTTTAAGAAATTAAAGTTGGCTTAGAGAAACAGCATTGTTCTTTCAAGCCTGTGTTTTCCACCCTCTGAGCGTTGAGAGGTCAGACCTGTACGTTCTTGATAAGAGTCCCCTTTGTCTAAGCAATATTAAGAGCTCTTGTATATGTAACAAAGAGTGCAAAACTCTCGTTTCTTAAAGCCTGACACTACAAGAAATGTTCTAGCAATGTAAACAGACATTTATATTTAGACAAGAGGCCTCTCTGAACAAACAGCCCGCAGACATTAATGCAGTGATTTGTTTTCTTGGCAGAGAACTATTAGCACTGCTTAGCACATTATTCAGTAGTTTGGGAATAAGAGTAATTCTTCCCTTGAAGAAAGTAGGTCCCCTTCTGAACAATCACAATGGCTACCCAGAAAGAAAACAGACCAGCACCAAATGAATTATTAGTTTACAAAAAAATAAACTTAGCTCTTATTTAAGTTCTATAACCCAGACTCAATAAATTAACTAGGAAATCAGTTTGTCAGCTACAGTATAATTTAAAACTCCATTTTCAACCAGGAGGGCGGGAAGGTTGGAGAGGAGGGTCAATCTCACACTGATCACCACGAACTCCATGGATTTCATCAAAAGAAAATACTTTTTTCCATCTTGTATTCTCTTTGAGAAGTGAGCTGTAGATTACCATCTGTGATGTTTAGAGCGTGATATCCACGTCGAGATCTTTCCTTCCAGAGAGCACAGCACATAATGCACTACACTATTTTCAGATCTGAGAAATCTGCAGGGAAAGAAGGATCTCAGACCTCTCTCAAAGAGCCAAACACCAAGCAGCCACCTCACAGATCACGTCTAGTCATCCTCAACATAACACCGCACTGAGCTTTTTAATTCACAGATTTTATGTTAGTCCTTTAGAACCCAATGCCCGCGTTTCAGTTCAGATCTGCTAGACTCTTCAAGCAGCCTTCTTAGTGCCAGTTCCTTGGAGGTCTTGTAAATTTACCTTTGACCTAGGGCAGAAAAAGACAGAGTGGGAATATATAAAATATCAAGAATGTAGAATCTTAAGTTAGGACTACTGTATGTGAGTAGTGGGTTTTTGTACTGCCTATTTTACTGCGTATTTGTACTTCACGGGAAAACACGTTAAGTCAATCTTTAAGTCTTACCTGTTGTGAATCATGTGACTTTTGACAAGATGTCCGGCTGCCAGCGCTGCCATCAGTGACAGTTCCCCAGCCATGACCGTACCGCACACGATCCTGGCAAGCTGCCGGGCATTTTCCCCGGGATTGTCCTTGCATGCTCCTTGCACACCTAGCATCTGCAGCCAGGGAGAGACACAGCAGGGCTCACCCTTAAAGTCATGGCAACAACTTCCCTATCAGTCAAATCAAGGGCAACCACAATGCCATCAGAATAGAACAGATTCCAGAAGTGTACAATTTCCAAGATATGACAGCCAGGCCTCGCAACAATATGCACCACAGTTAACATAACATCCACAGCTACTTTGCAGGGCACTTAATCAGAGAGAAGCATTCATTTACTCTCTTAATCTACTTTCTCACATTACTAAGCACATGTCTCAACATGCTTACTTCGACACAATGGGTCAGGCTGGTGAGAAGCAAAAGAATGAAAAGAGCAGCTAAAATACAGCTCAGTGACATGTGGTGTCAGGCAGAAACCGAGAATCCCAGCAAGTCAGAACTAGGCCTGAGGTCACCAGACCTTGGGGCTGAGGTGTCATACCTGCAAACAAGCTTGCTGAGGGAGCAGATTGGTCCCCCCGCCCACAGTTCCTATTTCTATAGATGGCATGGTGCAGCTGATGTACAGATCTTCGTTTGTGGGGCCACTTGCTTCCATTAAAGTAATACAGTTTGAACTACCAACATTCTGTGCTGCATCCTGAAAAAAATAAGAAGGAGAACTATAAAACTTCTCTCAACTCAGAGCAACACAAGACAAGAGAAGCAGAGGCAGGAGCCCTCACCTGCCCACAGGCAATGTAGATGGCAGTTACGATGTTCGCCGCGTGGGCATTGTTGCCTCCAATGCTCCCGGCCATGGCAGAACCCACCAGATTCTTATTAATGTTGACCTCAATCATGGCTTCTGTAGTCGTCTTTAATACCTAGCAAACAGAGTGTGCGCATTTTACAAGTTCTCCCAGAAGATCCAGGGCATGTTACCCAGCTCTATCTTTCTGTCCTCTGGAAACCAAGAGAGCTTAGATATGTCCCCACTGAGGCCTTGTCCTTAGTGAAGAAAATCAGTAAAGTTCATTCCTGTGAATGCCACACACGGATGGGCAAGATGGGATATCACCGTCATCTTTAACATAAAACATACACCCATAATATTAAACTTCACTTAGAGTGTTACTATTCCTTTCCCCAATTTTTAAACCAGTTAACAAAGTAAAATGATCATCCAATCACTCACTTCTCGGACAACCTTGGCTGGAATGACAGCTTCACAAACCACAGACTTTCCTCTTCCCTCTATCCAATTTATAGCAGCAGGTTTCTTGTCAGTACAGTAGTTACCACTAACTGCTAGAATCTGCATTTCGGGGAAATACTCATGAAGTTTCGAAAGTGCCTTCTCTGTGCCCTGTCAACAACACAACAAAATTAAAATGTACAAAGTTATTTGTAGATCAGAGGCTTTATTTGTATCTAGTAATACTAATACAAGCTTAATAACTACAATATTTCTAAATATAATAAATACACTCCAAAGGAAGTGAGCATAAAATAATAGTTTCATTAACTAACTTCTCAGAAACAGACTCCTATGTTTCTTTCTAGAAATGAAAACAAAGCTCTTCGTAGTCACTGATGAACAGGATGTACATGAGAAATGAGAATATTAATTAAAAAATGAATTACGAAATACTCAGTGAGAATACTCCTAATCATGTCACTGGGAGTTGAGTAACTCAACCTATGATCAACATGTAATAAATTCCTTCCTTTAGTTATTAAATTGTTACCTAAAAGCCCAAGTTACCAAGTCTGCCACAAGAAGTCAGTCATTAAAAGTAAATCCCATTGTTAATGGGAAGTCATTGGGATTTACCTTACAAAAATGTAAACAAGACTTCCAATTAAGTGAAGTTAATTCAGTTAACAAGCCGTACCTCAGTAGCTGAAAACATACTTCATGGCAATTTAAAAAATTATTTTAATTGTGGCAAAATACACGCAACATAGATGTTAGCATCTTAACGATTTTCAAGTGTACAGTTCAGTAGGGTTAGGTCCATTCATACAGCCAATCTCCAGAGCTCTGTTCGTCTTGCAAAACTGAAACTCCAAACCCATTAAACGACAACTCCCCATCTCCCTTTCTCCTCAACCCCTGGCAACTACCCTTTCACTTTCTGTCTTTATGCGTTTAATCTAGTAACTCCTAAGTGTGAATTTGCATAGTATTTGTCTGTTTTGTTAGCCAGATTATTTAACTTAGCAAGTGAACCTCAAGGTTCATTTAGCGTATGTCAGAATTTCCTATTTTTTTAGGGTTTAATAATATTATATGTACACCCAACATTTTATTTATCCATTCATCTGTCCATGAACATTTGTGCTGTTTCTACCTTTTGGCTACTGTGAATGCTGCTGCTATGAACAGAGTCTACAAGTAAGTCTCTGAAACCTGGTTTTCAACTCTTTTGGGTAAAACCCAGGAGCGGAATTGCTGGATCATGATTCTATTTTTAATTTTTTGAGGAACCACGATACTGTTTATTGGCAATGTTTAAAACTTAGGTATTTAGTCACTATTCCCCCCTCTTCTCTTTCTGGATGTCCTTATGTAAAGTTAAACTACAAAATAAAGTTTGCTATCCTAAGTGACTTTAACATTTTACATTTGTGAATATTTGTAAATAAAAAATAATATTTTGTAAATAACAAGTATCAGTAGAATAAAATGTAAGCCATACATAATATTCTTATAAGGAGATAATTAAAATAAATGGACTATATACAAGAACTTGGCCTCTTAAATACAAGCCTTGAGGTCTCTAAAAGAGGTGAGCTTTCAAAGTTTATAAGATAAAGTCAAGAAGCACTAACCCCAAGATTCCTCCCACCCCTTATGAATAGACCCAGAATAGGTATAATACCCCATCTAAATTAAACGTATAAAATACAAAAATATATCAAAGCCAACAAACACCTGATAAGTTATATGAATCAATATTTAGCTTTCAATAAGAATCTTTCAATCAATGAACTCTTTGAATAAGTAGTATATGTACATGGTACCAAATTCAAAACTACAGGAGGACCTATACAGTGAGTCTACTCCCCAGTCTTACCTCCCTGACCCCCAGTTCCCCTCCCCTGGGACAGTCAGTCTTACAAGCTATATTCTAGTCCATCGAGGCTCACCTTTGAAATCATGTTCATCCCCATGGCATCACCTGACCTGGACTGGAAACGGATATAAAGGTTGCGACCAGCCATACTCATGTGAAGTTTCTGTAAACGTGCAAATCTGTAAACAAAAGTGAATGTTTTTTATTGTTATTTTGTTAAGAAGATGGAAGTTATCTTAAAATTCTGGTTTAAAAAAAAATTTTTTTTAAATTCTAGTTTAGCTGATTTTACACATAAGAGAATGCTCACAGAGATTACATTAAAAAAAAGGAAAATACATTTCAATAAGTTTGTTTATTTTGAGAGAGAGCATGTGTGAGCAGGGGAGGGAAAGAGAGGGAGAGAGAGAATTCCAAGGATGCTCCATGCTGTTAGCACAGAGCTCAACATAGGACTCCAACCGACGAACCATGAAATCATGACCCGAGCCGAAAGCAAGAGCCACATAACCGAGTAAACCACCCAGGCGCACTGAAATGTTATATGGCAACACTAATTCAACGGTTTCATTCTTTTTTGTTTTATTGTTTACTTATTTTGAGAAAGAGACCAGGAGTGCAGGTGAACACGAGTGGGGGAGGGACAGAGAGAAAGGGAGAGAGAGTGCCGAGTGGGCTCCAGCTATCTGGCACAGAACCTGACTGGGGGCTCAATCTCACAAACCATGAGGTCATGACCTGAGCCAAAATCCAGAGTTGACACTAAGTGACTGAACGACCCAGGAACCCCTAGAGATTCTTCACGACAGGGAACAAACTGAGAGCTGATGGAGGGAAGTGGGTGGGGGCTGGGCATTAAAGAGGGCACTTGTGATGAGCATTGGGTATTATATGTAAATGATGAATCACTGAATTCTACTTCTGAAATCAATATTACAACTATATGTTAACTAAAATTTAAATAAAAACTTGAAACAAAATAGGGGCACCTGGGTGGCTCAGTCGGTGAAGCATCCAACTTCAGCTCAGGTCACAATCTCACAACTAGAGAGTTTGAACCCCGCATCGGGCTCTATGCTGACAGGTCAGAGACTGGAGCCTGCTTCGGATTCTGTGTCTCCCTCTCTGCCCCTCCCCCACTCACCCCCTTTCTGTCTCTCTCTCTCTCAAAAATGAATAAACATCAAAAAAAAATTGTTTTTTAAACTAAACAAACCAAAAACCCAAAAGACAAAAACAACCTGAATCTTGAAACACCAACACACAAATTTACTAGCTCACGCTATTTTTTACTATTTACTCCTATGAAGGTACTCATTTGGATCAACATTCTGCCCCAAGGATAAATATTACTCATTTTGAGTAAATGGAATTTGTTACGTCACCTAAAGCAGGCAGTATGTCGACAGTTATGTTTGGCCATCACAGAAGATGACACGGGCTCAGAAATGAATGCATATACAAACCCCACACACACCTGCTGGTACTGTCAAAAGCCTCCTTTATCACTGTGAACCCTTCAGGTGTCTCAAGCCAGGCCTTCACCTCTGCGGAGTCACAAGCACGGGGAAGGCGCACCACCGGGCCACGGGTCATCCCATCTGCAAGGATTCGGCTGCTGGCACCTCCACCGAGCTATGCGGAGGATGTTACGGAAGCACATGTTAATCCTGAAAACACTCTGTTTGTTCCCAAAGGTGTTCCCAATTGTCCCCGGATCCCTTCCCCGTTGGCTGACCTAGGGCATATCTTAAAACAAGCAAATCTAGAAATGCGTACTTACACCTATTGCTCTGCAGCCTCTATTAGTGCTGGCCACAAGACAGCCTTCTGTTGTTGCCATCGGCACCTGGTATTCTTTTCCGTCCAAGCACAGAGGTCCTGCCACTCCAACAGGGATGGGCATGTATCCAATCACATTCTCACAACAAGCTCCCATCACCTAAAGGGAAAAGTCAGGCACCGAGTGAACATCACTATCGCAAATACTCAGCCCTTGTCATTCATAACTCTCTTCAAACAGAACCCTTTATTTTTCAACATTTTTTATGTACTCTTTATAAGTATTTAAAAGTAGTAAAATCATTGAGTAATGACTATAAACAACAGAAAAAATATGTTGAATTTCTAGGACCTATAATCATAAGCAGAATACAAAATTACAGTGGAAGGACGAAACAACTGTTTTCTAAAATTATGTGCATACAAAAGACTTGTCAAGAAAAAGACTAAAAACTGAAGACTAAAGCTACAAGACTGAAAAGCTACAAAGCAAACTTTCTCTCTTTTTTAATGTTTTTTCTTTTTAATTTATTTTTGAGAGAGAGATAGAGACAGCATGAGCAGAGGAAGGGCAGAGAGGCAGGGAGACACAGAATCCAAAGCAGGCTCCAGGCTTTGAGCTGGCTGTCAGCACAGAGCCTCGATGTGGGGTTCGAACCCACGAACCGTGAGATCATGACCTGAGCTGAAGTCAGACGCTTAACGGACTGAGCCACCCAGGCGCCCCAAAGCAAACTTTCTCAAATCAAGAAAACATACCAAGGAGTAATTATAGTTCCTATAAGGTAGATACTGGAGCGAAGAAGGCTCTGGAAGTTTTCTGGACAGTAACTGTCGGCGAATAGATACACCTCGTTCATGAGTTTCCATCAGAGTTTCCAATTTGTAAGCTGGGATATGCTTGGCATTGACTAATTGGATGATCTCAGCATCACTAAGGAATTTTGCACCTTTCTAAAGAAATGGAAAAAAAAAATGAGAAGGAGTGGTGGGAGGGGGGTACACCATTTAATACAAACCATGTTCTTAGTAGAGGATAGCCCAAAGAGCTCTGGAGTTCTAAAGATGATTCGAAAGGAAATAAGAATATCAAAATGAAAGGAAATTCTTTATAAAAATATGACCCTAGACAAATGTAAAACCAAGACACCAAATTTTGCCAGTAAAGCTCGTAGGAAAAAGACAAACACATAACTAAGATTCTGATGGCCACCCTCTAAGTTTCCAGTAACCCTGTGTACAGCAAAACAGTTCCAAAATTGGCACACGTGTTAATAGGAATGAGGGAAAGTGAAAGAAAAATAAGCATTATGCTACTCTCACTCATGTGCACATAATTTAGGAATAATTAAGCAGATATGGATGGAACACAATATTCACACTAGGCACGAACTGACTCCTATGGTCGTGTAGGCAGAATACGCTGTCAGATGTTAGAAAGGAAAACAAGCTTATTAAAAAGCAAACTAAAAACAAACAAGTCTTCTGTCTTTGAAGCTCATTTTTGAGTGAAACCTTTTCTAGGCCCCAGTACCCAGGAGAACAGAGTAGTGGCTCATCTCTCTGGCAAACAGTAATAAAGGATAAAGAGCACGGTCTCTTGAGTCAGCAAATCTTGGACTCTTGATCTCTGCTTTACCATTTCCTAAATGTATGACTTTGGGAAATACTTATGCCTCTTGGAGCCTCAGCTTTCTCCTTCTCATCTGAAAAATGGGACATAAGTCCAACTATCTCAAGAGGCTGTGGGGAATAAATAAGACCACTACCTGCAAACCACACAACACAGGGCCCAGAACTTAGCAGGCATTCAGGAGCTAGAACTTCCTTCCTTCCTTCCTTAAAAAAAAAACCCAGCTCCTTTGCTTAAAAGATATAAAGCTTGAATTAACTCTCTTTTCCTCACCTCTGCATTCCCAAGTATCTGCAGACATTCTTCATTAGGCCGAGGCTCCATAGGAAGTTCAATTTCCGGTTCCTGTGTCTCCAGTTCCAGTGAAGTATCAAGTAAGGAAGAGTTACCAACCACAAACGTAGCTCTGTTTGCAGGGTCAGCTTCTGCCACTAAGGGTTTTATGACCTCAACTTGCAAAGAAACCAAACAAAATCTCATTAACAGTGAACATTTTATTTTATTTTATTTTATTTTTTGAACACACATTTTAAAATGAACTCAGCTTCTTGACAAATCAGTATTGGAAAAAATGGAAAATAAAGAGAACAAGAAATTACCTTTTCTTTCTCTGTTTATCCTTGTCTCCTCCTCCACTGCATGGAATTTCTGGCTATTTGTGACTGGTTCACGTCGACAACAATCATCTGGGACTTTTTTGGGGGTCACTACAGGAGATGTGATAGGGTTTTTTAACGATAGTGTAGATTCTGTCTCAGCTTGTTCAAAGAAGATGTACTTGACAGCCAGAAGGAGAGCTAAACTTAGGGTAATAACTTGTTCAATATCCATGCTGATCATTCTAAATAAAAGAAAGCAAATTAAAAAGTTATTACTCAGAAATTAAAAGGCACAGCCTGAACTTTTAGTAATATAAAGTGCTATGATTAATACACAACAAAGCAGATCTCAGGTAACTTACTTAGAGAGATAAAACTGCCAGAGGGAAACACTTGGTTCAATTCTCTTGGACACATTTTCATCCAATCCTAAAGAAACTTTAGAATTTTCTGCTGTAGTGTTTTGAGGAGAAGGATCGGCTATCCAGCGACTGTGGGCGTGAACAAGAACCAAGCCTAAAGACTGAAATAAAATGTTATAAATTATGTATCCTCTGCATATCAATGGCACCTAAACTTCTCATCCTTAGCAACTGGATAGCCAGATACTATCTTTCACAGCCTCCCCTTAGCATGAAAAGAAAGCCCCGCACTTGTTCTGGGACTAAAGTAGTGTCATACTAAACTACTGAAAACACTGTACAAAGAACAAGTTTTCAAAAAGAGGTAAAGTGGAGGAACTTGAAACATCTGTTTAGGGGAGAGACACTAGGAACCTCAAAGAAATGAGATAAGAAAAAATAAGAAAGAGAAACATCAATGAAAGAGACAAAATTGTAGAAGGATAGCAGAAAGGAGGAAAAAAATCGAAAAGCAGAATATGACACTGGAACTGAACAAAATACAGAAGGGAGAAGAAAACTACGAAATTACCATAATCATCTTAACTCTCTGTGTAACAGGATTTGGCTTATTTTCTTCTTCTTCTAAAACTCGAGCAAAGTGGCTCAGCTGCCAAATTGGACGACCCTCGCGGCTTTCCCGAGAAAGCTACAAAGTAAACCAGTGTTACCTTAGAAGGCACGGATTTTATTTAAGTGAACCAATTTGATGAGAAACATTTCTCTTCCACTAACTGTAAGTAAAAACCGTTCTTACCTCTAAAACCAAGGAAACGCAAGCTGGGAAGAAAGTCATGAACACAAAGTAGTTGGCAAGAACTGACATACAGCCAAAGCAGCACATAATCTCAAGTTGACGCACACCTGGTTAGAGAAAAATTAAATGTATAATTAGTAAAGTGCCTATATTTGTGATGCTGCATACATCACAGGGACTTCTCCTCAAGGAAGACAAATATAAGAAAACATTAGTATATTAAGCTTTTTCTTATCTACTGGAAAAAGAAATGAGGAACCCCAAGGTGATATCAAGCATTAGAGCAGGAATAACTCCCTCTCAAGAAGAGAACTTGTCTTCTCCCAAGTCTCCAACATCACAACGCCAGCCACAGTCACTGTATTTAATTCACATGTGATAATCCCCTTTTATTAAATGGTAGTAACCCGTTCTGAAGAGTAGGTTCAGGCTACTCTAATGAGCAAATCTCCCACAGTTTGGATCCAATTCCACTCTTTACCAAAAAAAGCAGTTCACCTCTGGACCAAAGACTTTTTATATTAAAGTAAAACATATTGTCAGTTACGCCATTCCTGATTCAGTATCATAATAAATACTTGATGTGCACTAACTGAACTCTAATTTCAATATAACCTCTATCGTGGCTATTGCTGTTCTTATAATTTTGGTAAATTTCACTAATCTGTTTGAAAAATTAAATAATGCCAAAAGGTAACTCAAGATCCAAAATTAACAAAAGCTCCACTACAAAATGTTTAAGGTGTCACTTGGTATACGTTTCCAAATAGAAGGTTAACAGAATTATAGAGCTGAAAAATACTTTTGATTACCAAATCCTATTCCCTCAACTTTACAAATAAACTTGAATATACAACATATCTCTGACGTCACTCATATTAAATATAAAAATTTTTTGAAATGTAAATAAAAAGTCATTCCCTCTTCCTATAAAACTGCTAACTAGAATAACAAAAACTCAATGGTCTATTTTATTTTTGAATTCTAAAGAGATCATTTGATTAAATAACAGGACAAAAACATACACTGTATTTTTAAAAAACTCTACAGCATCGTGTGAACTACAGAAAGATCTATAGCAATTACTCTCAAACGTAGACACTGAGGAGAAGACAAAATTATAGTAACGAAAAGCATTATGAACAATCTATATTTTAGATAGTGGCAGAATGTAATCTTTTCAAAGGTGAGGCCACTGAAACAATACTTGACCAATGCTTTTACACCCAGGTTACCCACTGTCCCCTCTGCACAACAGTTACTGATGCTGTTTCCATAGGCTCTCCAGGCGTTCTTCCTTACCCCATCCCCAAACAGTCTCTCTGTGACACTTCGCTGCTACACAAAGAGACAGCACCAATCTATATACTTCCAAGAAGTTAAGCCTTTGTTCTTTTTTACTGGCCCTCCAATTGGTTATTTCCTCATTAATATGTGTCAAACCTTTTCTACCCTAGGCCAAATCCCTAATTATACCATTTCTGCCCAGCTGTACATGTCTCCTAACTGGCTTTTCTAACTATAAATCTAATCACTTCCTTCGTCTACTTCTCTGACCTAGAATGCCAAAATTCATCACCCTACTTTCCACATCCACTCCCATGGCTTTCCATGGCTTTCTACATCAGTTTCAAAATTGGTGGTTCCACGGCCTACGACCAGATCCTGGCTAATCTTCTTCACCTTCTTATATATACTTTTGTTTGAATAAACTCACATTACTGTGTTTTCACCCAATCAAAAACATTGTTCTTGACTGTAGTGTTGGTTATGTGACTATATTTTTGCCTAAACTTAAAACTATACTCCAGGGGAGCCTGGGTGGCTCAGTCAGTTAAGCGTCGTACTTTGGCTCAGGTCATGATCTCATGGTGTGTGGGTTCGAGCACCACATTAGGCTCTGTGCTGACAGCTCAGAGCCTGGGGCCTGCTTCAGATTCTGTGTCTCCCACTCTCTCTGACCCTCCCCTGCTCACACTGTCTCTCTCTCTCTCTCAGAAATTTTAAAAAAAAAAATTAAAAAAATTTAAGAAAAAACTATACTCCATAAAAGTTGACTTAATGTAATTTTCATTTTATTTATTTATTTTTTTATAAATTTGTTTTAACGTTTATTTTTGAAAGAGACAGAGTGCAAGTGCGGGAGGGACAGAAAGGGAGGAAAACAGAATCTGAAGCCCCTGGAATGTTCATTTTAAAAAATATTTTTAGGGGCGCCTGGGTGACTCAGTCAGTTAAGCATCCAACTTCGGCTCAGGTCATGATCTTGTGGCTCGTGGGTTCAGGCCCCTCATCAGGCTCTGTGCTGACAGCTCGGAGCCTGGACCATGTTTCAGATTGTCTCTTCCTCTCTCTCTGTCCCTCCCTCTCCTGCTCGCACTCTGTCTCTCTCCCAATAAATAAACATTTAATAAATTGTTTTTAAATAAATGAATATTTTTAAAAACACTTTCCTTGCTCAATGTTGAATGACAGATTAAAAAACAATAAATAAGTTTATCCTCAGAAAGAAATGTTATATATTTAATATACTACCTGGTGATAAGCCCTCAACTAAAAAGAATATTGACGACCAACTACTTTCATAAAAGCTAAATAGTTTACCTGTGAAAGAATGCAGCCCCTTATCCAGGGCACTCAGGCACCAGGAAACAGGCCGGAACTGTCATTACTAAGGGTAACTAGCTCCCTGAGGAAGCCATAAAGTCTAGTGTTAATAATTAGGAAACCTTCACAACAGCACAATATATTCATTCTAGCAAATTTCCAGGCCAGACCGCAATTTCCGCACTATGTATGATATTTAACATCTAACTCTACTGTCTAATTACGGATTAAGAAACCTGTGTTGAGAGTAATGCCAGGTACTTGCTAAGATGTACCGCATACCATCTGATTAAATCTTCCCAACCAGCCTATTAGGTGGGCCTAACTTGGATCTGGCCCACTTCTGACTCTTGTACTATCTCCTACAGGATAATTAAAACACAAGGAACCAAAACCAAAACCCATAAGGAACCAAATCACTGACTTAGTCTGGGCAGGTGCCACACTGGAAGGTGCCCCAGGTGAGCCTTAGAATACAATCTTGGTTAAAAACGAAACAAAAAAACAAACACGAACACCACAAAATCATCAAAGGGGTGGAGTACAGAAAGAGAAGGTAGTAATCGTGAAAAATAAGTGACAGTAACCTGCTACTAAGTTTTCACTAAAGCAGTCAGACATAAGGTCAGATAAACCCGCATACTCATTCAATTAAAATCTTTTAAGAATAATGTCACACTTTTAAAACTCAGAATTTAAGAATAACCACTGCAGGGGCTCCCAGCTGGCTCAGTCAGTTAAGGGTCCGACTCTTGGTTTCAGCTCAGGTCCATGATTCGTGGGATTGAGTGCCAAGTCGAGCTCCACACTGACAACTCAGAGCCTGCTTGGGATTCTCTCTTCCTTCCTCTCTCTAACCCTTCCCCATTTGCCTGCACACGCTTTCTCTCTCTCTCAAAATAAAAATAAATTTTAAAATAAAAAAAAAGAATAACCAGTGCAATCTAAGATGTCCTTTTTTCCCTTCATCTACAACTTATTTTAAAAAACATTAAAAATCTCTTACAAACCTGACATGGTACCAACTCCAATCACAAGACATTCTACAAGGGCATCAAGGGTGAACGTGGGACCTAAAATGGCCATTCCACGAGCGATATTTTCCCGTACTTCATCCTAAAACACAGACCATACGTATCAGTGAGGGTAAGGTTCAAAATAACTTTTTTTGGAAAACATCAGAGAGCATCCTCAGGCCTCTATTAAAAGCTCATTTACTACACAAAGAGGAAAATATACAACACAATATCACTAACAGGCATTCCAGATGGAAAGGATTTTTAAAAAGTCACATCCAGTGCCCTGCTCTCCCTTTCGACTGAGTGAGATACTTCCTGGGAGGATTCCTTTGAGGTGGTGCATCCATCCTGCCATCTAAACACCACATAATGAAACACTACATTTTATATTGGCTACCATTGACATTTCTTCCCTGCAAATTTTTTGAGACCTTGTTAATACTATAAAACCTAAACCATATTCTTGTCCACAAGTTCAAGTGATCGACACAGTTATCAAATACATAATCAAGGCAGAATCGTAAGCAACTTTATACTCAGATGCAAGATTATTGAAAATGTTTGGTTCTTTAAAGTGACTAATGAACACCAAGATAAAACTTGAGATGGAAAATAATGCAAGTGCTAATGCCAAAATTTTAGAAATTAGTCTATCCTTAGATTCTCTTCTATTACATCCTGTCCTGTTCTCTGTCCCAGTGTCTTCACTGGGAAGACACTCTTACTTATCCAAAAGTCATATTTCCTTAATTTCTGAAACCTTCAAATAGGAAAATGGAGAAGATCCCAAACTCCAGAAGCTATGGAATTATAACTGAGTTGTTAGGTATGTAGAAAGACCAGTCTTAAAACCTGACAATTAGAACTGTGGGCAATTACTGAATCTTCAACTATGAAAAACTATTAATCTGCCCTAATCATGTAAACAAACTGAAAAAAGGAATAATACTGACATTTGTGTCTTAAAAATAATACTTACCTGTGAGTTGGAACTGAGGGCAAACTTTGCTAGTGCACTTGCTCTGGAAAGGTCAATCAAAAGTAGGAAAAAGGGCAAAGCTTCACTGGAAAAAAAAACAAGATGATCAAGTACATTTAACATAGGAAAAAATGCTTTCTAAGACCAAAACACCGCCTCATAGACTGTAGAATTCTTTAGTATACATACCTTTGTATAGCCCATAAGATATACCTAATACTCACTCCCCTTTGACATCCTCAAAGCTAAACATACTCATTGCTCAAAAATATGCGTTAAAACTATTTGTAATGTTAGGGTGCCTGGGAGGCTCAGTCGGTTAAGCATCCGACTCTTGCTTTCTGCTAAGGTCATGATCTCTCAGTTTGTGCGATCCATTCCCACATCAGGCTCTGTGCTGACAGTGCAAAGCCTGCTTCGGATTCACTATCTCTCTCTCTCTTGCTTTCTTATTTTTTTTTAATGTTTTATTTATTTCTAAGAGAGAGAGAGAGAGAGACAGCGTGAGCAGAGAAGGGTCAGAGAGAGAGAGGGAGTCACAGACTGAAACAGACTCCAGGCTCTGAGCTGGCAGTCAGCAGAGAGCCCGACGCGGGGCTAGAACCCACAAACTGCGAGATCATGACCTAAACGAAAGTCGGACGCTTAACCGGCTAAGCCACCCAGGCGCCCCTCTCTCTCTCTTTCTACCTCCCCTCAAAATAAATAAAAAAACTTAAAAACTATCTGTAATGTTAAAAATATAAATATATTTACACAAAAACACCTTTTGATAATTTTATAGCAAAATATCATCCTAAGTAAAAACTGTTTCCTTGAATTAGCATGGGTAGAAGAAGTGGAATATATGTAATTTTTTTTCATTAATCACTATTTGTGGAAGGATAAATTTAACAAGCTTTCTGAAGACAAAATTGGCAATAACAGCACTTAAAAGCCCTAAAACTTTACACAGCCACAGTTTCACACCCAGGAATATATCCTGAGAATAAATACAAACACAAATTTAGCCACAAAGATATTCATCACTGTTATTAAAAGAGGAAACTAAATAACCTAAGAATCCAATCCTAGAGGATTAACTAAATGACCTATAATATATTCATATAGGGGGATACTAGATACTCACTAGAAATAGTTTAGTTTAGCATTAAGGACATGCGAAGATGTTGATAAACTATCATTAGGCATAAAGAAGTTATAGCAGTATATACAATGTGATCTCAGAATTTTTGCTTAACTGTAAAAAAAAGTATGAAAGGATAAATACCAAAAGGTATTATTGTTAGCTAAATGACTACATAAAAAATTTCCCCATATTTTCTATAAATTTTTGAAAACGTATTTTCAAAAATACTTTGTAACTTGGAGAAGAAAAAAACGTTAACATTGTTTTTTGAAAAAAAAGTATACTTATGCTTTAAACACTTACTTCAAGCCTGTCAGTTCTTTATCCAAGAAATGAATGACAACCGTACTGAACACAAAACTTGAGAAAATTGTGAAGAGGCCAGCAATACCTGAAATGACAAAACTCAAACTGAAAAAAAAATCATCCTTTATTACAAAAATAACATATAGTCCCATACACTATTCTGAAAGAAATATTATTTTCTCCAGATTATTAAGATCTCAACTATCAGAATATTTACTCCCAATAAGGAAGCCATTGAATTTAAGCAGTAGCTCAGTTTAAGCAATATACAGGTTTCTACACACATGATTTGAATAAAAATCTTTATTTCTGTAGCAAAACAAAAACTTGAGAGCACAAGGACGTTAAATGTGTAAACTGATTACCCAAAATATATTTTGATCCAAGCTGACGTAAATTCTGGAACTGGAAGTAAATATACAGGATCGCTATGCATCGTGTTATTGTCAGAATTATAATGTCACTGCTTAAAACATCCTATTGGAAGAGACAGGAAAAAAAATCCCAATAGTTTTACTTTTTAAGATAAGCAATACGTAAGAATTTTTATTTTGTATGCATCATTAGTTTATATATTTGTCACAATAATGTAAATACAGGCACAATACAGCTCAAATAAAAATCTTAAATATGTATATCAAAAATTAAATACAAGTTTTCAACAATCCACTGTTTAAAGCCAATCATATTTCTCTGTTAATTACTTAACGCTATTATTTTCTCAAGAAAAAGTCAATTACAGTCATTTTATGCAGAAAAGGCATAAAGAAAGGTATTTCCAGTGTGTTTCCAAACAATGTAAGTAAATGGAAATTTGAGGCAAGTTCACGAACACTAAGATAAAGATTTTACTTGGAACTCTTTTGATTAGATGGTCTATAAGAGGAAATGCTCTGTAGAAGCTGAATGTGTAATTTTGTCAGTATCAAATTAATTTCACAAACCTCTTCAAACTTTGGACACTCATAATTCCAACCACAGATCTTATCGTTACCAGTAAACATGTTCATGGACATCATACAGATGGTCAGTGTCACTGTCCCCACGATGACTTCCCAGGGATGGGAGGCCACAAAAAGGCCATGCATTCGGAAAAGTCTTGACAACATTTTAGCTATATATAGACTACTTGGACCCTGGAAAAGATAACATATGTGAACACTTAGTACAGTTTTAGGAAAAGAAAAGATTTTTTCATTTTTATTCATTTTCATTTTTAGGAAAAGAAGATTTTGCATTCTAAACTCTGCTTTTGTAGGCATGGCGTCTTAAACATATGAATAATACTATTTGAGAGTGTTCCTTATTAATGCTGGAAAATAATTCTAAAATTTAAATGAGCACTCTGATAGTACTTTTTTACTCACAACACTTCAATTCTCTTACTAGCAACCAACCTAAAAGCAGCTATTTCTTACAAGTGGTATGAATTCAAACTTTTATGAGGAAATCAAATAAATATCTCAGCCCACGATATTATCTGAGCTAAGGAGAAGAGCAATGAGGCAGGGAAAAAAAAGAAAGTAAAAAACAGCCATTCACATTTGTCTTATAATTTCCCTGATATAAAATGCCCATTAGCACCCTCTTCATTCTCCATTATTCCAGTTACACAAAAGGCAAATAACAACCTACCTGTTGAGGGTCCTCAAGGGCAAAGTTTCATTACAGTTTTCCATTCCATTCAAAACATGGCAGAATGTTACTAGCAAAACGATGTTTAATAAAACCTCCTACTGTTGCTGTCACCAGAGAAAAGTCTTTTTCCATTTTTACAGCTAATAAAATACTAGAACAGTAATGGAAGAAGAGGACGGCTGGCCAAAGTAGATGTTTGTAACATTCAAAAATTCCCAGTAGAACATACAGGTAATTTTGATCTAACAAATGCCGTAACTGAACTCCCCATGTTTGCTAGCTAGCTAACTGTGTTAATTCTGATACTGTGATTTTTAAACAATCTGATACAGTCACTGGTCTCCAATACAGGAATTTTTAAGACTTGTTAGACTAAAATTAATGCTTACAATAGAGCAGATTTCATTATCCATAAAAATCTATTTCAAATTATGATTTTAAAAGTAAGGGTACTGGTTGACACACTAGCAAGAATTCAAATGAATCGCATGTTTACAGTAAAAACTAAGAAAATGACTCACTTATTGAAGACAAAATTAAATGGCAACAAATAAAAAAAAAGGAAGTTAAACACCCTATCTTAAGCACTAAGGGAAAGAAAATAAGAGTAGCTTTTAGGAACCAAAGTAATTACTGAACGTCGTCATCTACTGTGTCACTCTATATTCTCTCCATTTCAGCTGCTCCAGCCACTAGCTGGACAGCTGACTTTCTGACTGCAGGCAACCATCTTTTCATTGGATCAATCAAATCATGAAATCAGTTTTGTGAGTCAGAACATTTTTTAATAAATAGAAAAAAGAGGTGTAGGTAAACATGTAGTACAGGTAGGTATTATTTCTTCAAAGTTTAGGGTTCATGAAACCATACATATAGGAATGTGCATAGTGGCTTCCAAGATAACACGTCTTACTTACTGTGGGTCTCAATTTTAAAAGGTTGGCAGTCACTAAGATCTACAAATGTGGCATGCATCTGCCTGTGTTTATTCATGCTTTTTCAACCTTCCTCCCTGAGTTTTGTTCCTCATTTTATCCTCCAGCACTTTGCACCCACACAGAGCGGCTACTCAACAAATACCTGCTTAATTAAAAATAAACTCATCAACTACAGGAGCATGCATTTTATTGACATATCTTGAAACAGACCTAAAAATGAATTCAAGTCAACAAGATACAGACATAACTGCCTACCTGCTAGCCCTCCCCTCCCACCCTCCACCCCCAGGTAAGGGCTGAATGCAGAGCATTCTGGGAACATGTAAAAGCAGGATGGAGGAGGGAAGAGAGGCTATAGTCTATACACTGCTCTTGAAAATGAACAATAACAAAAATTGTTTCTATTAAGTGAGCAGGGACTCGGACTAAAGCACTGGAGAGTAATAATCACAGATTTGCATCTGACTTCATTACACCGAAAGCCTGCTACGAGCCTAGATTTTCTGGCCAGTTTTCTATCACGTAACATCCTTCTTATATTTACAAGCAAAAAACAAAAACTGTACAAACTGGTCTAAAGGATCAACAAGCATCAATGTCCAGAAAATGAAGCCACTAAAAATACTTTTCAACACTACGTCAAAATGATTTCTAACACACTCTCCCGCCAAAATACTCTCAACTTAGAATGTTCCTTATTAAGTCAATGTATTCTTCACTATTAAAAAGTTAATTCACTCGAATTAAAATCTGAGCCGCTAGAAGGAAGGCACCCCAATTGGATCACAAGTTGGTTTAGCATCATTAACTCAGATTATAAATTAGGCACATTATCCTGTCCCTTAAAAATATTTCATGGTAGCACTGTCAATTCTGGGACATTTCTTTCCTAGGTAAAGTCATCTTTGCAACATTCAGGAAAAAAATTACACATGATCCTGTGAACTAACCCCAAACAGAGAATCACATCTATTTGGAAATACAAACTCAGGTACAAGGTGTGTCAAGAGTAATCATATAATTATACACCATCTCATTTCTCATGGGCACACTCCCCATTTCCCTGTGATTATACAAGGTATTTAAATGCCAAAGAATCCAGTCTTCCACCTTCATCAGCGGTTGCAAGTGGCATCAGCAGGCTACGGGACAGCTCATGAGAATTGAATGAACACTATATAGGCCATGCAGCAGTAAAAGTTTTGCTTAAAAAAAAAGTTAAATAGACAATACATGCCTTGCCTACGCACAATGAAGTATGCTCCAAACATTTCCCAGATTCTTCAAAAGAACAGATCGTTTGAATTCAACGGACTCATCAAACTCCAATCCAATGGGCTACAGAAACCACCTACCAGGGCCAACTGCAGAAAAGGAAGCTTTGGCCTCCAACTCTGATTCTTTCCTCCCACCTTGCACTCCGCCTGTGCTACACAGTCCAGCGTTTGATTATACACCATCTTACTCAACTCTCAAATTAACTGCTGTCTACATTCTGATTCTTTGAAGGCAAGAACCATGTCTTACACTGAGTCATTTCTAATTCCAAAAGGATCTAGCATTCTGCTGCTCAAACCAGTATCCCAGGAAAAATATGTATCTATATTGCACTGGAAATCAGAAAACCTTGATTCTACACTTAATTCTATTACATGCTCATGTGTCACATCTCTATTCACTTATTATAAGCTAGAGCTCTGAAGTTCTTTGACAATGACAAGTATTATGTGCAGCCACCCGAAACTGCCACTTGTATAGGTTTAAAAAAAAAAGTCAAATTTCAAATATCTGCCATTTCATATGGGTCAAACCTAAATAGATACTGTATAAGCATAGTTATCCATCCATGGTTTAAAAAGTAGATCATCCAAGAACAAAAAGAGTGTGTGCACACACATCTGCACTTCATCATGAAACAAATGCTCATGCCACACACAGCTGCCACACCCAAGTTTTCATATGTTAATGATTAATCTTTGCACATGTTTTTAAACCTTCATGTTACTAAATCCCATTTGTACTTACTGCCAAGTTCATCAAAAATCCTAGAAAAACACAACAAGGCAGGCCCTCAAAAACCAGTCGATCCCAAATTACACTCCAGGCCTTTGCTAGATTACCTCTAAATCAGAGAACAACTTTCATGGCATGAAGAGTAAAACATACCCTCAAAAAATACATTCTCTATACTGAGATGCTGAAATTATGCAGGAGTATTTAGTTTGGCCCAGGAAAAAATGTTTCCTATGACTTTTCAGGACCAAGTCTAAGGTGGCATGTCCTCAACCAAGCCACGAAATATGTCAAATGACCATTTAAGATGGAGTACATCAGCCTTCTCCCACCGCAGAAGACGCCTATTCTCTACTGGAACCTCCAAGGTATGTTTTTCCTAACCCAAACCAAATAAGTCCAGAACATCTACAAGATTTGGGCCCAACTACATGAGCACCAAGGAGACTAAGGCCCCTTCCAAAAATGAGGAGGGAGAAAGGAGGAGGGGTGAGAAGGAAAAGAATCCTTGGGGCGCCTGGGTGGCTGAGTCGGTAAATCTTCCAACTCTTGGTTTCCGCTCAGGTCATGATCTCCCGGTTTGTGAATTCCAGGCCCACATTGGGCTCTGCGCTGACAGGGCAGAGCCTGCTTGGGATTCTCTCTCTTCTCTCTCCTCTCTCTCTGCCCGTACAGCACTCGCACTTACATTTTCTCTTTCAAAATAAACTTTAAAAGAGGAAGAAGAAGAATCCTGTAAGTACTTGGGCAAGACCCTACAGTGGCCTCCGTGTCCTCTGAACTAGTGGCTCCTGTAAATGACCACACATCTCTACAGATGCGCGGTCCTTTCATGACTCTGTGTTAGCAGCATTTATGGAAAACTTCCCCAGCACTTGAAAGAAAGGTGCTGATGAACAGCAGACCTGGGCGTGAACGCATGCACCGCATAGTCCTTCTCGAGGCCTTTCCGCGAGCTGCCGGCGGGGCACATCACACACCCTCACTCTGACCATTCTCGGATCGAGGGGCTTCCGGGGTCACCCGACCTGGCACCCTTTCCGCCCGGATGATCGTGACTGCGTAGCCCATACCCACTACTTCGGGCTAGGCTGGCAAACGCGGCTACACCCCGCCAGACCACCGACGGTGACGGCAGCCACGGAGAAGCCAGCCCGCCGCCCGCCCCTCAGGCCCAGCCTGGCCTCCGGGCTCTCCCGCCGCTCAGCCGGCCGCGCGTCAAGGGCGTCTCCTTACTTACAGTCTCCCCGGCACCGGGCCCCCACACCCGCAAAGCCGCCACCTCAGCTCCCGCCAGGTCCGCAGGAGCTGCCGGTCGCCCCTTTCCAGGGCCAAGCGAAGCCCGAGAACCGCCATCGACACAGCCCGAATCCCGCTTCCCCGCCGCCCCGGCCCGGCTTCACTGCCACCGCCCGCCTCACCTCCCGATCTCACTGGAGGCCACCGAACCGGGGCGCCGGCTCTCCGTCTGTCTCCAGTCAAAGTAGACCCGAAGCGGAAGGAACCTTCGGCTTACGCACACTCGGAGCGGGCTGAGCCTGCGACCAATGAGAGGGGATCGTCCGATCGTCTAACCAATCATCTGGGGGCTTCTCGGCCTCACGGAGCTACGTCACGAACGGTCGCCTTAACAACCTCCCACAGCTCTCCCTGCTGCGGGGAAAAGGCACCGCACCATCTCTCACCACGGCTCGGCCAACCAATAGCTAGCCGAGTTCCAGAACTAGGGCCTGCCTATTGGCCCAAGAGCCCTGGGGGTACAAGCATGGTAAGCTGCTCGAGCGAAGGCGATAGGGGATCTGGCGGGTGGAGTGGCCTACGGGCCGGGACCTGACCTGTAGCCGTCCTGGCTGTGAGAGTACTATGGGAAACACCAGTGAGAAGCAGAATTGGGGGGTGTAGGGTCAGGTTGAGCATAGAAAGCGCACTTACTTGGCGGATAGAGAGAGGGAAGGAAGTGGAGGTGAGGCTGAAAGAAGAGAGGGTGGCAGAGGGATGCAAGCCCAAACCTCAAGTTGACCCATATTGGAAATCTAAAAACAGCACCTTCCTGCGACTTACCCATCTGGGTTAATAGCTCCAGTCACTGGAGCACCCCCACCCTGCACAGTGCTTCTGTGTGGAGCGCTGGTCACACACCACTGTCGGTTCTCAAATATGCCTCAACTGTGTCTTCTGCATTCTCTCTGCCCTCCCCTCACTGCGGGCCTTTATATTATCTCTGAGATGAAATAGTGCAATAGACTCCCCTAACAGGTCTCTCCACTCTTAGGCACGTCCACCTTGAGATCCTATTCCATAGGACTGCCCTCTGGAGTTGCTCATTGTCTACTGGAGTAAAGAACCTGACACCACAAATGGCCCCACCCCACATTTCTTGTGCATCTCTCCCTACTTACCTATATCAACCCTACATTTCAGTCAAGAGTAACCGGCCTTTTTTCAGTCACACTCGTTCCTTTTTATCTCTCTGCTTATGTTCTCTTGATTTAATCTGGATATACCTACCCATTTTAATAGTTGAAATCCTAACTATTATTTAAGGACCATTTCATATGCCACTTCCTTTCCTGATTCCTTCAAGACATGTCATTCCTCCCTACTTTGAACACTCATATTTCCATAATATTCTGCAACTTATCTTATTAGGTGGTAATTTCTTAGGAACAGGAATCATAATCCAGTGAATTTTTAAAGCCTTATATTTTGAAACACAGCCCCTGCAACACACCATACACTCAGTAGGAGTTTTAATAATTTAAGTTTCCATAATCCTTGTAAAACAGATATTATCTCCACTTACAAAAAAAAAAAGGTATATGGAAACCAATTTGACAATAAACTATCTGTAAAAAAAAAAAAAGATTAAGCAACATATTATAGACCACATAGATAATAAGTAGGAAAAATGGGGTTGGAGCCCATATCTAAAGCTTGTACTTGTACTTCTATACTCCACTGCTTCAGTATAGGACCTTTATTCACATCTCTTTACCAAATCTTTTTGGTGGCCCATTATATGTAATGTGCCATAGCTGACATTCAAATTACAGTGACAAACATGTCAGACATGGAAACTACCTTTAGGAACCTTATATCGCTTCACAGAATAGGTGGTCATTAAATATTTATTGAGTTAATTATAGTGGAAGGAAACAGTTTTCACAGTGAAGAAGACTGTAGTGAACCAAAGATTGAAATATTCTGAGTCTTATCAAAAGAAAGAAGGACAAGGAGAAAAGAAGAAAAAGAGGAAGAAGTGGAAGAGGAAGAAGAAAAAGGAGGAGGAGGGTAGAGAAGGAGGGAAGGAAGGAAGGACAGAAGGAAGGAAGGGAAGGACGGAGGGAGGAAAATCTGTTAAGTACTGATAGCTAAGAAACTGTCACGCTTTTAATGTCCCTAGAAGCCTAAAGGGCCAGATATTTCAGAATTAAAAGTTACAGATTATACAAATACTAATATAAAATCAAATAAAGATTATGAGGGTGCTTTCACAAAATGCTTTAGATTTGGAACTTTTCATTCCCAAATTCTGCTTAATTGAGAATTCCAATGAGTATATGGGTTCAAAAGCAATCAATTAAAAACTAATTGTCTTCTTTTATGTACTTAAAACAACTTCTACCTGGGTCCCAAAATGTATTTCAAAAGAATCTTTATTGCACTTAACTAGTAATTTATGCTTAATGACAAGTCACAAAACTTGACATGGACACAAGATAGAAGAGGAAAGTGGGGGATGGGGTTCAAGGGAATCTGTGTGCCTTCTTGTCTGTGGGTATATCTCAGAGCAAGAAGTTTATTAGAGCATAATTTTGGGGCACCTGGGTGGCTCAGTTTGTTAAGTGTCCAACTCCCGATCTCAACTCAGGTCTTGATCTCAGGATCATGAGTTCAACCCTGTGTTAGGCTCCACACTGGGCATGAAGCCTACTTTAAAAGCTCAATTAATTAAAAACTAAAGTATAATTTTAAGAGCTTCTTTTAAAGTAATGGATGGCCCACATTGCAATCTTGAACTCAAGACCCTGAGATCAAGACCTGAACTTGAGAATCAGGCACTTAACCGACTGGCCCACCCAGGTGCCGTGGCAGAGATTGCTGTCACAATCCACATTACCCTTAGCATTTATCTGTGTAAATGTATTAGGCCTCCAACCTCCACTTTTCCCTCTTTTTATTGTCATGGATCATTTATGAAGTCAGGGAATTATGCCAACAACAAAAATAAGAATAAATAACTTAAAAAACTCTATCAGCCACTTTTCTAAGTGCTTTATTGATATTAACTCCTTAATTCTCATAACAGTCCTATGAGAAAGGTGTGTAGAATCTGCATTTTACAAATGATGAAGCTACAGAAACAGAAACCTGGTCTAAGTTCATGCAGCTTGAAGTGGTAGAGCTGGGAATACTGACTTCAAAATCTGGCTCCCAAGTGCATGTGCCAAGCAAGCGTGGTGTGTTAGCTTGTGCATTAACATAATTTGTTCTGCTTTGTATTAGCACATGTTGTGATTGTCTAAGCTTCTGACACTCCATTGCAAAAAAATCTTTCATGATGTCAAAGAAAAGTTGTATTTGTTTATCTATTTCCCATTTGCTGTTCCCAGCTGCGCTCAAATTTATATTTTCCAACCTCAGGCAGTTTTCTCTCTCTTACATAATCTTTTTTTTTTTTTAATTTTAGGGATAATGTTTTAACCAGTACATTGCAAGCGATAATTGGCCACTTAGCTTTTGACAGATAATATGATTGTCTCTCCTGTCCAAAGTCAAGAAATACTCACTAAGGGTCTCTATGCTAGGCAAAGGGCTAGGCTTCCTAGGTACAGAGTTAAATAAGGACACAGACACAAACAGAACCTTTCCAGATAATATAGGCAGTGTTCTGAGTTAGATATGCAGAGGGGCCAGTGAGAAAAGACATAAGGCATGGAGTTTGGGTGCAGTACATTCTGAACAAGGGAAGGAAATAGTTTGAAGAAAGGCTGTTTCAGCTAATAGGGCCAAGATTGTGAGAATCAGAATAGAGGTGACATGGATCAGTATCAGAAAGTTTAATTAAATATTTTTTTTAATTTTTAATGTTTATTTATTTTTGACAGAGAGAGAAACAGAGCATGAGCAAAGCAGGGAAGAGGGAGAGGGAGACACAGAATCTGAAGCAGGCTCCAGGCTCCAAGCTGTCAGCACAGAACCCTATGTGAGACTCGATGCGGATTTCAAACTCTCTAACCAAGAGATCATGATCTGAGCTGAAGTCAGATGCTTGACCGACTGAGCTATCCAGGCACCCCTAATTAAGCAGATATATTAAAGTACATGGAATATGAGAGATTTAATAGGTGGGCAAGTCATGAGCAGGTTGGCAGAGAATCCCAAGTTTCTACTGTCACCCAAGATGACATCTCACAGGGGCTAAAAGTCTCAGCTATTTCTCTTCTTTTGCTACTACTGTTCAGCAGCAAAACTTAAAATTCTGCTTCTTGTTCATTCCTAAAACTTACTAGAGCTGCACCCAGCAGCTGGAGCCTCTCTTACAGTCCGGAGCAAAGGTCTCCACAGGAAAGGGTGCACACAATTCAACATGTCTTCTGCTCACTGAGCATGCTTTCACTGTTTTACTGTGGTTTTGTTTGTTTTCTTCTTCACAGTTTCCCCCATTCCTCTCCTTAGGTTTTTCTCCAGCTTTGCAGCATCCCTTGGGAGTAAGTATGAGCTGTATTGGAATAACTTTTTTTCTTTTAAAGGAATTTACTCTCCTCAGCTAAAAAGAATCCTCACACAAAGACTATCTGTAATCAGGAGGGAGCGTTGTGTATCCCGGAGATATCTGGGGATTCTTGGCTAAGGTGCTGGCTCACAAAGGAGTCAATGAAAGACCAAGAAAGGAGGTGAAATGAAAGAGGGAAGGAAGAAGTGATTTTGACTGAAATATGAGCACTATTTTTTCTTCCTCAATAACAAACCTGTTCCTGGTCTCAGTTGACATGAGTGGAGTGCGCTCTTGACAACAAAGGCTGTATCGAATTCACTTGTCATGTCCCAACATCTCTTTCCTGTTCACCTTCATCTTTCCATTGCCATCTTCTCCTTACAGCTTTATATGGCTCTCCATTGAGACGGCAGAAGATTATAATGTGGAGGGGAAAAAGGAAGAGCTTGCAAGGAAGTAGGTAAGATCACACCAGGCAAGTGTCAAACAAAACAAACAAACAAAAAAAATGGCCCAAGGAGGCCCACCTCAGTTTTCATGAGCAACCCCATAAATTGCCAAAGAGAAAACCGCCCAGGGCTACACAATCATAATAAATTTCGTTTTGAGTAACAGAGAACCTAAACTAAAATATTTTACAAATATTTTAAAATGTTGGCTTAAACAAAACAAGCATTTCTTTCTTTCTTGGATAAAGGAAACTGGAGATAAGTAGTCTCAGATTAGCATGGCAGTCCAAGATGTGTGCAAGGACCTTTCTATCTGTCGGCTCCAGTCATGTATTCC